GCTTTATTTAGCATACAGTTGGTTTTAGCTTTTACCTATAATTTTGCTAACTTTAACATTTGGCTACTGATTTGCTGAGTTTAGCTTTTATTCTGCTTGTTTTAAGAGTTAAGGTAAAAAATTCATTCTTCACCATGGAGCCATCATTCAGTTTCTCCGGTTATTTTTGTATTTCTTGAATAATTACATATAATTTAAAACAGTTCAGAGCACATTCCCACATTGTGTTTTTGATTAAAACTCGTCAGATCTGCTCTCTTGAAATAAAAGACAGAAAAAGTTTATTTACTGAAGTTTGGTTTGACCCGAACTTGGAGCTTTTTTGATGTTTTGTCGCCCTCTAGTGTCACAACTGAGTAAAGTCAGGTCAGATGATGCTCTGCATCAAAAACAAGAAGCTGCAGGAATGAGCTTTGAGGACACTAATAACTGCCAATAATAATAATTTTTTGTGTGTTTTTGATTAGCTGTGGTGGCCATCTTGAATCTAGTTGACTCCAGATGTATTTTTAATAATTACTTTATAAGTTTCATTAAATATTTCCACTGGTTAGAGAAATATTTTGCTAAAAGACAAACATATGATGAATATTTAACAATCCTGACTGGAAAAAGTAATCTAACCTCCAAATTAAAACCTAAACTCCATAACAAAACAGCCCCCCTTTTTGTTTGTTTCTTCCARCATGTGCAACCACTCTGAATCTGTGTTTCCTACAGAAAAACATAAATCAAATTCACATAAAAAAAAGGATTTATATCCGAGGACGTTTATGTGCTTCGTGACGTCGTTCATCTGCTCTCCAAGAGCTTCAAGATGCTTCTCTCAATGATTGCTCTCAAGCAGGATTTTGCTGTTCTTCGTCAACGTGGAAACAATTTCCGTTCGGCTTCGCTGATAGTCTGAGGAGTGTAAATCTGATCTGATTAAAAAGTACCGTCTTCTGATTTACTCRCATGCCTCTGGGGGAGGTTGTGTTTTTCATCTCTGGTTCCTGCTCTGCACAGGGGGTGATGTTCATTTCCATAATCACTCTGATTTATAACAAGCGCTCTCTCTCTCACACACACACACACACACACACACACACACACACACACACCATTACATATAGGATCCATGTGTTTGTCTCGCTGTTTTACAGCTGAAACAAGTCCGCTGACGTTGTGGTCGGGCCTAAAAAACACTTGACTCGCACACAGTTTCACCCCAAACTGGCCCCCGAACACAAGCCAGACCTGGGGGGAGTGTTTCTATAACGCTAACTGAGTTAAAGTTGTGTTTTCCTAATGTCAGGTGAAAATGTGTCGCATTTAAAAGAACTTCTGTCGTTTCATCAGAGAAACTCACATTTCCTCCTCCTCCTTTACACATCCAAAATAAATAAGATATTGTAAGTATTGTGTGTTAAATATCCCCTGAGTAACACGTCTTTTCTCATCTTTTGACCTGAAATTACATTTAAACTATCATTTTACTAGATAGGCATCCGATTAGCTAATTTTGGCTACTGCTTTACYCATTTTAGCATCTGTTTTGCTAACTATAGCTAACCTTTACTCACTGTTTACAATGAACATGTTTCGTCAATTTTAGCTAATAATTTTAGAAACTGTTTTGCTTAGTTTAGCTATTGTTTTACTCATTTGAACACTTTTAGCCAATTTTAGCTACTGTTTTGCTACCTTTAGCTACTCTTTACTCATTTTAGCCATTGCTTACTTGTATTGTCATCTKTTACTGTTCATTTGTAGTACTRTTTTATTCAATTKAGCATCTGTTTCGCAAATTTTGRCCAGTTTTACCCATTTTAGCATGTGTGTTGCTGTTTTAGCTACTGTTTTACCCAGTTTAGTATTTGTTTTACTACATACATTTGCTAACTATAGCTACTGCTTGCTGTTTTTAGCATCTGTTTTTGATAACTATAGCTACTCCTACTAAGACTTTATTATTACTAGCATCTGTTTTGCTAATTTTAGCTACTGGTTTACTCGTTTCAGCATGTTTGGTTTATTTTAGCTACTGTTCAGCTTGTTTTAACTTTAACAACTCAATTTCAGTGTCATCATTAAGYCATTCAGCACTCATCATTTCACTGCACTTTCACTGAAAACTGGTTTTTATTTTTTTAGTTGTGTTTAATTTTTGGAGACATAAAACCTAGTTTTTACCGGAGCAGAAATAGAAGCCGAGTCTCCTTTTGTTTCACAGGATTAATTCTGGTTTCTAATCMCACAGGATCCCTTTAAAACACTAGAAATGAAGCCAAACAGAAAAGTTTTTACCTCTGCTGACAAGAACACTTGGATTGGAGATGATGGCCTTTTCTCTTCTTCACCACAAGAGGGCGCCATGTTGGATCTTTAGCACAGAGTTGAATATCACTGSAGAGAGCCCTGCCTGCCTTCAGCTTCTGTGACAACATGGAGGAGCAAAAAWGGCGACTGAACAGGWTGTCGGCTCATACTCATGATATAAACTATTAGATTAACAGCAACTGGATCTCTGTCAAACTTTTTTTTTGCAATATTCTTACAATAAATTATTATAATTATTAATACTGTTCGTTTTATTCAACGATTTAAAACATCAGGATCCATACAAGAAAATACAGTATATAATTTATAACTATGATCTAAACCTATAGCTTTTTAGCCAGTTGAAAAATTATGACTTCAACTAATAATAGTTATTTCGTACCTGTCAAAAATATTAAGTATTTACCAGACGATACATAAAAAATATTCACTGCATATCCGGTTATAGTATGAAATTTGTCTCTATTAACTAACCATAAAAATAGTTAAAAATATATTATTTCACACTGTGTAAATATTCCATAAATCAGAGGCAAAACCAGGCTGTAATATTTAATTATTTGTGTTAGATTGTAGCATGAGACANGCAAAACCAGGCTGTAATATTTAATTATTTGTGTTAGATTGTAGCATGAGACATTTCCCTGCTTCTCTTCTATCATTAAATCACAAACTAACACAGTTATTTCATACCTGTCAAAAATAATAAGTATTTACCAGACGATACATAAAAAATATTCACTGCATACCCGGTTATAGTATGAAATTTGTCTCTATTAACTAACCATTAAAATAGTTAAAAATGTATTATTTTACACTGTGTAAATATTCCATAAATCAGAGGCAAAACCAGGCTGTAATATTTAATAATTTGTTAGATTGTAGCATGAGACATTTCCCTGCTTCTCTTCTATCATTAAATCACAAACTCAGACAACTTTCTGTCATTTTTATATACATTATATTGATTATATATACTATAATAATTTAAATATTATTACTGGTGATAGGTTTTACGATTTCTACATCATCAGTACTTTTTTTTTTTTTGCTATGCCAACCCAGTAATAAATCCAGACTCTTGCCTGTTCTGTTTAGCAAAGTATCAATCAAGATCACGTGGTCATGACTCACTCTAGTTGTATTATWTACCTCTATAATATTATACAAGACCAGCTGTAAATCTGAGATCTGTCAGCTGCTTCAGCACCAAACTGAACCACATGGTTAATGTAGTTGCTTGTTTTATTTTAATTAACTGATTTATCGTCATATTGTTCTGCAAACAAACAAAATTTTGATAACTTAGGGATTAAAGCAGTTTTTGGTTAAATTATCTTTCTTTTTAAGATTTGAAAAAAAATTATTTGGTGCAGTTTGTTAATGCTCAAAGCGTGGATCATTGTCACCTATTACCACACTAAAGTTTAGCTCAGTATGTGTAAGATTGACTAAATTACTGCCTTTTTTCTGTAATGATCAGCTGTTGTGATGGCGATCTTACAAAAAGTGATTCAGTGATTACTTACTGGAAGTTTCATTKTGATTCCTCCAGTGGTTTRKGAGATATTTTCATAAAAGGCAATCATRTGGCCAAAAAAAAGTCCACAGTGGGCCGGAGGTAGCCCGCTGGCCGCCAGTTGGTGATAGAGGGAGGGCTGGAGGTGTGTAGGAGGTGTGGATGCTGGGTGTGAGCTGGAGCACCCTCCCTTCCAATTCAGCAACAGTCTGACTTTTAAAGACCCCCAAAGCGCATCCGGATCCACTTCTCTGCCCCCAGATCCCAGTCCTCTACTGGAGCGCGCGCACATGGGCCGCGGGATGCAGCCTGGGACCGCGGACACGGAGCTGCCGCCGCGCGCTTCGCCTCCATCCCGACGTAGCACACCGGATTACTTTTAACAAACACTTCAGGAGGATAAACAAAAAAAAAAGGATCCATTTCTTCGCATTTTTTTAATTTATTTGTTTTTTCAAGTTAAGAGCTCAAGTCCAGCTGATGTTCAATGCGCAGYCATGCTCATCATCCCTTCTCGCGGAGCGCTGCTGTCCGTCTACTACCCGCAGATCTTCCTCATCCTCACCAGCGGCAGCTACCTGTACGTTTTGTCTTTGAGCGCAGGTGCGCCTCGCGCGTAAATTAGCCAATTACGCGCAAAAATTACGCAGATTGAAGGGGCACGCTGGGGGAGGACTAGGGTTAAACTGAACATCGAATTTCTTTCCTGCTGACTATCTGGGGTCGATTTGTATCAATTAGTTTTAATGTTTCAGCCTGAGATGAGGTCAGAGCTGCGGATTTATCCACACTCGCGAAGGAATCCAACCTTTAAAAAGCGTCCTGGAGCAAGCTGATGAGAGAAGCTGCTCTGGTGGATTTACACCCCCACACCAGAACCACTCTGTCGTGGGAACACCTCGTCAAACACGAGCAGCAACATATGGAAAACAGTTGAATTAAACTATTCCTGCATGCCTTTTTTTTTATTATTATAGAGGCAGGTTTCTGTAATGAGATCTGATGTTTCTGTCACCAAACTGATGAAAAACCCAGATTTAATGCTATTTTTGTAACTTTTAGAAGTTCACATTCAGCTCCAAATAATAAATTAAAGGTCTAGCCTTCTTTGAAGGAACGCATCACCTGTCGCTTTTCATTTCACGTAATATTTTGATCTTCTGCACAGTCTAACACTTGTTGTGAATAACTCAATACCTGTAAAATTTACAGAGGTTTTGCCATTTTTTGAGTAAGCTAAGGTTGATTTGGGGTAGCAGCCATGTTGAATTGKGTTGACTTCAACAACAGATAAGATATTTTGCTAAAACAGTCTTTAACCAACTCAGTTTGATATAAAAGTGTAAAACGAGGACTTTCGACTGATTTGAGACGAAGTGTTTCTGGTTCATGATCTCTACRTGTCTGCAGGGCCCTGTCCTCCGTGGTGGCTCTGGGTGCCAACATAATCTGCAACAAGATACCAGGAYTGGCCCCCCGTCAGAGGGCCCTTTGTCAGAGTCGCCCCGACGCCATCATCGTCATCGGCGAAGGCGCCCAGCTGGGCATCAACGAGTGCCAGCACCAGTTCCGGCACAGCCGGTGGAACTGCTCGGCGCTGGGAGAGAGGACAGTCTTCGGACAAGAGCTGAGAGTAGGTCAGTCTGTTTGACGGCTTCTYTGGTTTTCTGACCTTCAGGCCACAGATGGACGGTTTTGACTGAGATCATGAGATGGGCGTGGCTAAAACAACATCACATCATCTGCAAACATACGCACAAAGTAACACATACAGGCACGATGACGGGTTAATTTTTGGAGTCAACCCAGTTTTAAATGGCCACCACAGAAAACTGACAGCAAACACATAGAAGGCAAAAATGTAACCAGTTCTACAGATATTCAGCTAAAATTTGGCGTGGTAGTGGCTGAGACTCACACCCAACACAGTTTGAGCACGAACACAAAATGTTTGTTTAAAACTTTGTCACTCAAAGAATGGGTAACGTGCTTATGTATTTTCCTTTTTTGCGACTACTTTGGCAATATTTAAAGGGATCCCCGATTAGTTGTAACATTAGACTTTATTTGATAAACATATATTTTAACTGTAAAATAAAGACTAAAAATACTGTAGGCTGTTTAGTTTTTATAATTTTCTAAACTAAAAGTTTAAAAATATATTACAC